AAAAAAAAAAAACATTATATTTTAATATTTAAATATAGAATAAGAGCTTAAAAAATTTTATACTATTTTCAGACTTTAGCTTTCCATGAAACATAATAATTATTTGAAAAATGCTATAAATACATAATAAATGAAAGGTGTACATAATAACCACATGGAGTGGGGGGTCCACTTGATTTTTTATTTTTGGTCGGTCCCACTTAATGTGAGTGTTATGTACACCCTTATGTACAATATAATGTACTTATAGTATCTCTAACTATTTTATGTTATATTATAAATTACAATTGCTTTATGATATATTTTTATTTGACAAAAAAATATGCTAAAAACACTATAATATTGGTAGATTATGAAAATTTTAACATTTTGACCGATCAAATGAGTAAATGCATAAGATTTGAAATGATCTAATATCAATAGTTAAAATAATTTATTAATTCCATTTTTATTGTTAACCAAAAAATATTAAAAAACTAATTTGGTTAGTAGATTCTAAAAATTATATTTGAACAAATTTTGACGATTTACTCACGAGATGAAAAAATATAGATTTTGATAAGTAAATTTTATTATTAATGTATTTGAAAAAATAAAATTACTAAAAGCACTAATATTGGCATATTATGGAAATGCAACATTTTGACCTATTAATAAAATTAATATTTGATGGTCGGGTACAATTCAGAATTACAATTTTCACCATAAAAATACCTATGTACATTACAAACCTATTCAAGTTTTGAAAAAAAAAATGTAATTTGTACTATATATTGTTTTATAAATGAAAATAAGTAAATAAAATAGTCATGTATCTAATTTAAATAATAACACTTGGTAATCTTGGAAACATATAGATAGGTTACGCTACAGACATTAGTTGTACTAATAAATTCAATGTCTTGTCCATAAATATAGACAATTTGGACAATATATCATGCTAATAAATGATTTTGTTGAGGCAACATCCATTTTTTTTTTTAACCATACCAAGTAAGTCATTTGATAAATTCAAATAAACTTCCATTTGTAAGTTTTTAATTATTCCATGTATTTTTAATTGTTAAACATGTGTAGCAACTTTAAATCACTTCAACATAATCATGGTTCTAAACTTCTAAATATCTTCTATTTATATCAATGTGACTCGATTATTTTGTAATAACTTTATTATATTCTCTACAAGCATATTAAAGCAAGTACCTAATTCGTCGATTATCTTAATTTCTTTTCGGTCTTTTTCAAATCCCAAATCTCAACCTCAAAATAGCATATTACCGCTTCGTAATCTTGTTGGCAAAACCGACCGTTATCAAATAACATGAACACATATGGTTTTAAATATATATATTACATGAATATAACATATTTTATTTATTTTAGATTTATATAAATTTGCAATCGCTCATTCTGTTTCGATTAGACGTATATATAATTCAGCGATCCGGAGATACAACAAATATTTATGGTAAATTGTGGTAGATTTAAGTAGCAAGTTTTGTAATACTAGTTGATAAGCTTGTTTCAAGCTTATAACAACTTATCAACTAGTTAATACATAATTATTTATTTTATAAAAATACCTTAGCAATAAAAATTTCAATGATTATTTTTAATTGTCACAAAAATAATCATTTAAGTGAGCTTTCTTATGAGCTTAACTTACTAGAAGAGAATTATTTGAATATAAGAGCTTATTTAAATAAATTATATAGTAAATGATATTGTTTACAAAAAATTCATTTAAATAAAAGAAGCTTATAAATTATTTAGATAAATTATGAAGCAAATGACAGTGCTTACAAATATTAATTTTAGCGTTATTTGTTTTCATTTTCAAAAAATGTACTCAATTTATGTTTCTAATAGGTACTATGATCAATTTAAATAATTAAATATATTTTCCTATTAATTAGTTAAACTTTATGACAAATATACCAATTTAATAATATTGTTAACTAGTATTAGAAATATGTTTGAATGTTTAGCTTATCATTTCATTAGTTTATCATTTTTGTGTTGCAATATTATTCATATCAATTTTCGTAACACTTTTTTGTCTTTCACTCAACATTTTCAAATGTAGATAGATAAAGAGTCCAACGATCAATTAGAACACTAAAATTGTAATAATACTTGTTATATCTATTTCTCATTAATTTTTGATGATACTTTATGATTCAATTTATTAATAGTGTACATATTTATAATTATTTATTTACTTTTATAATTGTCAATGATGAAATTTAAGTTTATATTATTATTATCATTATTATTAATGAGTACTTGACAGTTAGAATAGGAGTTATTTCCTCAATAATTATATAATAAGTGAAATTATATAAGTTACCCACCTTTGACAACCAAAATATTTGAAACTAGCGCCATTTTATGGAGACCAAAATAGTAGGCGGCAATAATCCTTTTCACAAAAATTAGGGCAAGATATGAGACTACCCCTTATTTCCCCACGCCCCAACGCCATTTTCATTCCCCCGCCCCCGTCTTGCGGGGACCCATCAGAAAAATTGAAAAGAAGCCAAAAATTATCACAATCCACG